ACCGTCAGCACCAGAGTACGAGGGAGGAAACGGGGGATGCTCATGGAAATGGTCAAGGGCAAAAAGTCGGCTGAGGGTGGTGCTGCTACGGAACTAGCTGGTTTGGAAAGGGTGACCACAGCTGAAGTCGACCAGAGCGAGGGAGAGGGCGGAGGTGAGCCTTGGGCACGAATCGAATGGCAGGACATCAGAGTCGGCGACATTGTTCAGCTGCAGAGAGATGAAAACGTGCCCGCCGACATGGTGCTTCTCCATGCCACTGGCCCGAACGGAGTCGCATATATCGAGACTATGGCGTTGGATGGCGAGACAAATCTCAAGAGCAAACAGGCCTGTCCTTTGTTGCTCAACCACTGCTCCTCTATCAACGCCATGGCCCACTGCGATGCTACAGTCGTCTCCGAGGACCCGAATCTCGACCTCTACAACTACGAAGGCCGAGTGACGGTAAACGGAGAGACGATGCCCTTGACCTCCAGTCAGATCGTGTACAGAGGATCAACCCTCCGGAATACGACCCAAGCGATTGGAATCGTTGTCAACACTGGCGAGGAGTGCAAGATTCGGATGAATGCGCACAAGAATGTTCGAACCAAGGCACCCGAGATGCAATTCATGGTCAACCGAATTGTCATGCTTCTCGTGGTCTTCGTCGTTGCACTTGCTGTTGGATGTACTGGTGGCTATACCATGTGGCATCGCAGCAATGAAAAGAAGGCTTGGTATCTCATCCAGCAAAAGGTCCCAATCAAGGAAATTGTCATTGGCTTCATTATCGCTTTCAACACTCTGATTCCCCTGTCACTCTATGTCAGTCTTGAAATCGTCAAGCTTGGGCAACTTTACCTACTGGCGGATGTCGAGATGTATGATCCCAAAACAGACACGGCAATGAGCGCCAACACCACGACGATTTTGGAAAACCTCGGTCAGGTTAGCTATGTGTTTTCGGACAAGACAGGTACCCTGACTGAGAACCTCATGAGGTTCCGGAAGATCAGTGTGGGAGGAGCGGCGTTTCTTCATGACATGGATATACGGAGAGATGCAGAGAAGGCAAAGCAAGAGCAACTCGCCCAGGATCTGCCGAAAAGGAGCCTTTCGATCTCAGCGAAACCGCGGCCCTCTAATGTCGAGGCCTCCTTGGAACCACTTGCAGAAGAGTCGAGCAACGAGCCTATCGTCGCCAACCAATCTGTGTGGCACTCGAGCGCTGGTGTGAAACATGGACAGCGGGAACCGAATACCGAGGAGTTGATTCGCTATCTTCAGCAGAGGCCTAACACGCCTTTCTCCCGTACCGCTAAGCACTTCATACTCTGCATTGCACTTTGTCACACCTGTCTCCCCGAGACCAAGGAGGATGGCGAAATGACTTTCCAGGCCGCCTCTCCTGACGAGTTGGCGCTGGTGGAAGGAGCTAGGGACTTGGGCTACTTGGTGATCGACCGTCCCTCACAGGCCATCAGGCTTCAAACTCGCGATGCGGACGGCAATCCTGTTACTGAGACATATGAGGTTCTAGACGTCATCGAGTTCAGTAGCAAGCGGAAGCGCATGTCCATTGTCATTCGCATGCCTGACGGGTCTACCTGTATCTTCACCAAGGGTGCTGATAGCATGATTCTGCCTCGCCTCAAGCAGAGCAATCTGGCTATCCAGACCGCTGGAAAGATCGGGCAGATGGCCAGCATGCGTAAGAGTATGGAACAGGAGAAGGCTCTCCGTCGGCTTAGTCTCCACAGTATCAAGCGTGACAGCATGAACCTTGTCCGGGCTTCCCGTGCTTCGATGGACCACCGAAGGGTTAAGGGCAGTCAGCGCCGATCTACGTTCTTTACGGATGAGGTTGATTCTTGGCTAGTACGTCGTGAGACTGACGAGTTTGATGATTCCAACCCACCCCCGCGTCGCTCGATGCAGCGTGGCCGGTCGTTTGAAGTCGGTCGTCCCCATGATCCGCTCGACGGAATGGTTGACGAACATTTGGCTCTGAACGAGGCCGCCGTGTTCGAACGCTGCTTCAAGCACATTGATGACTTCGCCTCTGAAGGTCTGCGAACCCTCGTCTTTGCCTACCGCTATCTGGATGGTGAGGAGTACAGGAAGTGGAAGACGATCTATCATGAAGCCACTACCAGCCTGGTTAACCGCCAAGAGCGCATCGAGGCGGCTGCTGAGATCATCGAACAGAACTTTGACCTTGCTGGAGCTACCGCCATTGAGGACAAGCTGCAGCACGGTGTACCCGAGACCATCGACAAGTTCCGCCGTGCTAACATCAAGATCTGGATGCTTACGGGTGACAAGCGTGAGACTGCCATCAACATCGCTCACTCAGCTAGAATCTGCAAGCCCTTCTCGGAGGTCTACATCCTGGACGCGACTCAAGGCGATCTTCAGGAGAGACTTGCCTCAACTCTGATAGATGTGGGTCGTGGCATGGTTCCTCACTCGGTTGTTGTTATTGATGGTCACACTCTAAGTGTCGTGGAGGAGGACGAGTCCCTCCGCGTTTTGTTCTTTGACCTTGTTGTTAGAGTCGACTCGGTCATCTGCTGTCGCGCATCCCCATCGCAGAAGGCCACGCTTGTCCAGAGCATCCGTCAGCAAGTTCCCAAGGCTGTCACTCTCGCCATTGGTGATGGTGCCAATGATATTGCCATGATCCAAGCTTCGCACGTTGGCATCGGTATTTCCGGAAGAGAGGGTCTCCAGGCTGCTCGAATTTCGGATTTTTCCATCAGTCAGTTCCGGTTCTTACAACGCCTACTCTTTGTTCACGGTCGCTGGAACTATATCAGGACTGGCAAGTATATCCTTGGTACCTTCTGGAAGGAGATTGTCTTCTACCTAGTACAGGCGCAGTTCCAACGCTATAACGGTTATACGGGTACTTCTCTGTTCGAATCTACCAGTTTGACTGTCTTCAACACCCTGTTTACCTCGCTCCCGGTTATTCTCTTTGGTATCTTCGAGAAGGATCTTGAAGCTGACACACTGATGGCAATTCCCGAACTGTACACCTACGGACAGAAGGAGAAAGCCTTCAACGTCAAGCTGTACATTGGTTGGATGTTCATGGCCGTCTCAGAGTCAGTGCTAATTTTCACCATTGTCTGGTATGTCTATGGTATTACCCTGCCGCCCGAGAACGCCGCTCTCTATCCCGTCGGTACCCTGGCCTTTACCATTTGCGTCATTTTCATCAACATCAAAATGCTTGTCCTCGAACTCCACAATCGCATCGCTATCTGTTTCGCCGGTCTTTTCATCTCTGTCTTTGGCTGGTTCCTTTGGAACCTGCTCCTCAGCGGCATCTTCTCGGCCAAGATGAGTCCGTACCTTGTCAGAGACGGTTTTATTAGGGGTTTCGGCCAACACGCGCCCTGGTGGGTCGTCTGCATCATCGCGCTGTCTGCCCTTCTTATCTTTGAGGTAGCCATCAGCGCAGTGCGCAGATCTTTGTGGCCTACCGATCAAGACCTGATGAAGGAGATTGAGCACATTGATGGTGTCCTGGAAGTCATGAAAGAACATGCCGCCGAGCGTGGAGAAGCCGGTCTGCCCGCGGCGGATGTGACGGCCGCGGAGGCTGGTAGCATGAGGCACAAGAACAGCTATGGCGACTTCACCGGCGCCAGTATGACCCCCGCCGCCGCAGGAAGCAGCAGCAGCAGACCTCTGATGCCCGAAGGTCGCCCGAGCCATGCTTACACGCGTCCCAACTTTGACTCCCCGGCGGAGGAGCTGGAGGACCCGGTAGAGGACGTCGTCAGGCCTAAGAGCAAGGCGGCGGGGGAGGTGGACGAGCCAAAGGGCAGCATGAAGGGGAAGACTCCTAGAAAGTCGGCATTAAGAACGAACATTGACGTGGGTGTGACCACAAGGTTTCTAGGGGAGGGGAGTGCCAATACGCCGATTGCTAGTGGGTCAGCGGTGGACGCGGGTGAGCCGTATTTTGTCACGAGCCCGATCGAAATGCCGGAGATGCATTCACCTGTGGTGTCAACGGCGGCAGCAGCTACGGCGGACACGGGTTTTGGATCAGAGGAAGCGGGAGAAGGCGGTGCAGTGGAGAGGCAATTGACCGGGACGACTGTGAATCAGGAAGAGGGACAGCCGCCGGTGACGAGGCAGTTGTTGTGATGAGCAAAGATGGAAGAAGCTAACGATGACATGGGTGAAGTGAGATGAATCATGATATGAGCAATTGGATTACATGTCACTACGGCGGCTACGCAATCGTGTGAGGGAGAGTTGGCAGAGAGAAAGATTTTATGGGGTTATGAAATGACTGATCGATGAGAATATGGGAGGGGTGTGGATGACTTGGGAGATATTTTCCCCTACTTTCGTTGGTCAGAACACACCCTTTATACCTACGGCGCATTCAATCTGCATTTTTTTTTTTGGACGATCGAAGACCTCTGTCTGTCTGTCCCTCCTCTGCTTAGCTGACAGCAGCAAAAGCGGCTTTGATGGGAACTCACTTTTACTTGTATTTACCTGGTTGAACTTTGAGGCTCTGTTGGATACCTCACTACAACGTATATAGTTAATCTTCATTATTTGAATGTATATATAAACCGTGATCCATCCTCCGCCGTGCTGTTTCTTTTGTACTTCTTCTGCATAAGTTGTGTGGAACGCTTGGGATGCTTCAATCCTCTCGCCACAAATATTTGTTTACAGCACGTACGGTAGGGTAGAGTACGAGAGTACCTATATATGTCTATGTGGAGTGGTAGTTTCAATGGCTGGTTGGTGTTTGGTGCTGTTATGATCACTGTTCAAGTAGTGATGACAGACAAAACTGGAGCAGAAGCAACTTTGATGTAGTATACCAACCAACCTATAGCTAGCCATCTGGAAATAGGAATGGAGGGCAACTTGGCGGTTGTTGGCGGTTGGAATCCTGCAGACCAGATCTACCTATGGATCATGAGTTCGCCAGTTGATGCGAGACTGCAACAACCTTCGACCCTGCGTATGCAGCGTGGTAAGAGTCATACCGGTCCGGTACGATGTCACTCAATATTGGTTTAACTTTATTAGGTATAGCGCCGGAAATATGTGACCAATCTTATGCTGTGAGTTGATGTTGATGTTGTTTGTGATACGAAGCAGTAAGAGAGAGAGCTTGATGAGGATCTGATTGAAGGGCCATCTGTTGGTATGAATCAGACTGATTATGAGCCCCAAACACCAAGGTTGCGTGCAGCAATAGTGTATGTAGCTACTGTATAGAATGCGAGGTACACACACTGCATACCTACCTGTGAGGTAGCAATCGTTGTAACCGGTCGGTCCCAAAGATTGGATTTAGAGGATGGACCACGAATGAGGTGAAGCTGAAGCGATTGAAATGTCAATTGAAGGGTGGTATTGGAACCTGGATTTATACAGATTGCAGATGGCGCTCAGAACTGAACTCCAGGTCTAACAATCCAAGGTTGCCATGACAGTAATTGACATGTTACGAAACGGCGGGGTGCGTGCGGTACTTGTATGTGGTGGAGGTTCGGTTGTTTGGTTGGGATACGTACCCGTTAGGTTGTGCATGGACACACACAGGGACCCTTGTTTCCTTCCGTGTCCTTTGTTAGCTGTCACATGGATGGCTCGCAGCTGTTTATCTTCAGTTGGGTTGTCCATCACGACAGGAACCCCTTCCACCTCCCCTTGTGCCCGTCGACGAATGTGTTTTGCGCAACCTGATCGGCTGTGATTGTTCCATCCGATGTGGTTCAAAAAATACACAGGAAAAAAGTCAACGAGGTTGATGTGTCTTGATTGTATCATCCGAGGCCAAACCGACATGTTGACGATGCGACGCCGTAGGTAGGTAGGTGGCTCGAGCGTTGTGCCCCCCTCCCCCCAGTTCGCAACTCCAATTCCCAAGTCCCAAACCCACATACAGTGAAGATCCCTGCTTTTGCAACCCCCTCCTTTTGCAAAATCCCCCCTTTTGCAAAAGATTTCGACTGCCTGCATTCCCTCTGGTGGTAATTCCTGCAACCTGCAATTTGCAACGTTAACGGCCCGGATTTGCAAAAGCAGGGGTCGAATTTGGTGGGGCGGGCACTCTTATACCCGTATACCGGGGTCTGATAGCTCCAGGGACCCACTTTCTAGTACCTCTAACCATTGCTGAGTAGCTAGAAGACTCTTACCTGGTCTGTGCTCCTGTCCTCCCTTTTGCAAACCCCCCTCTTTTGCAAAAAATCTGGGCTGCCGGCATTAGTTGCAAAAGCAGGGGTTCTTACTGTACTAGTTTCCCCAGTTGTCCCAGCTTCCGGGGGTCCGGATTCCACTTGGGCACTTGGAGACGAAGCGCCAAATGCGGAGGAGGCTGGAGTCTAAGAGTAGTGTACAAGTATTGCGTCAGATACAATCAAGGGTTCTCTGGTCCAATCAAACTTGTAATCGATTCAAAGGCGGGATAGAAAGCGATAAGAAACTGCAACGGTGGGAGACACTTCCTAAGGATGAAGATAATAACGTGTTGGTAACAGGTATCAAAGAAGAGGTTGTGGTGGTGATGATGATGATGATTGATGTTCATGACAAGCCCACAGTGAGGTGTGATATGGCCAACATGAGGAGTTTATACATCTGCCTGGCCGGAAAACGATAGTTTTCAGTTGCTTCGAGATATCCATGTGTTACCGGCCGTTTAGTCGACGGGGATTTTGTGATGTATAATACAGCCAGCCATCTTGATGCGACCTTCCCCTTCGGGCCTTGCCGTCTTACATAGCTTCAGTCATGTTCTTTTGACTCGGCAAATCAAGCCCGGAACACCTAGTCTAGTGGAAGATGAACTTTCTGGTTTGTCGAGAACCGGTCCCAGACCACAACCTAGGAACAGGCGATACATACTGAAAGGCCACCGCTTGTTGATTCCAAATGATCACAAAAAGTCTTTCAATTGACAACTGGCAGGTCTAAAGACGAGATAGCCCCACTATCAAGGCTAAAAAGCCCCAAAAAACACCAAAGAGGTGTCCAAGGGAATCGACGGGCCCCACCGGCGTGCCGGGCAATTGCTCATAGCGAACACACTGGAGGGTTGCAGCAGGCAGACCTCGCGCTGACCACTCACCCTCATCCACAGCGGGGAACGACAGGCAACTTCAGCACGGCGAATCCCAGCCAAGACCAGCAACCAAGGCCCATCCCGTCATCCACCCAAGACTGGAGTTGCTTGCTTCTTATCCAACTTAAAGTCGACCGAGTTCCGGAAAATTCATTCCTCTCGAACCTCGCTCGCTCTCGAGGAATTCCGTCTTCCTTCGCCGCATACTTATCTAGCCCGCCAGAGAATATTAACATCTCGACGGCCCCAACCAACCCTCAGCCGGACTTTGCGACAAAACAGCAAAGTTCCCACGTCTTTTTTTTTGGGCTGTATCACCCGCTGTCCCGAGACATCATCAACGCCCAGGCCATTGGAAAAAAAAAAAAAAAAACACACCTCCTCTGTCTCCAGCTCGCTCGCCACACGAAGGCGCTGCTGAGCGCGCGAAATGGGTTTCGCTCAGTGCGGGTGGCCGATATGGCGGACCGACGACTTCACGCCATGTTTCCAGGAAGAGTATGTCCCAACAACGCCATCGCCAGCTTTGCGCTTATCTTCTCTTATCTTGACCACCGCCGACCGCTAACAAACTTGTTTCCACAGTTACCTCAAGATCCTCCTACCATTGATCGTCGTAGGGCTGTCCCTACTACGACTTCTCACCTCAAATCTCCTCCGAGCTGCCAAGCTAAAACCGAACCACGGGTACGATCGCGTCGCCGATAACGAGCAGGACCGCACCTACTTACCCAGAGACGAAGAACCGGTCGACGAGAGTGACGAAGATGAAGCGCTGACTATGAATGGCGGCCGCCTTGCGCTGGCCAAGGTCACTACCAAGGGCTCCATCGTGCAGGCTGATACTCCTGCTGGTCAAACTGTCCTTACCGTTATCGAAATCCTCGCCATTGCCGGTCTGGTGTCAATGTTGTCGCATTGGTTCTCGAAGCCTACAGCGGCCCTCACGGCAAGATTGCCGCCATTGCTGGTCTCAGTGCTTGGACCTATGTCCTGATTCTCGCCGCGCTGCGTCTCATTCTCAGAAACACCCAATGGCGCGCATCGCACCTCTGGAACCACACCGCTGCCATCTACTGTGCCCAGTGGCTGTTTTCGCTCATTGGCTTCCGCTCCGTCATTGTCCATCCTGCGACGCAGCTCAGGCAGACTTTGACCATTGTCGATTTCGCTTTGACCTCGCTCCTCTTCTTCATGTCCATCAGCACACGCAAGGGAAACAAGACGGTCATTCTCGAGTGGGAGGACGGTATCCAGCCCAGTCGCGAGAACTTGGCCTCTCTCTTCTCCCACTTCACTTTCGGCTGGGTTGACTCCATCATGTGGGAAGGCTGGAAGGAGCCGTTGACTGCCGACCGGGTCTGGAATTTGCTTCCTACTGACAAAGCCGCCACCGTTTTGGCCAACTACCGCCAAGTGCAGAAGACCACTTCGCTGGCTTACCACCTCTTGAGCTACTTCAAGGGTATGGTTGCTGCGCAGGCTGCCTGGGCTGTTATGTCGGGCGCCTTCACCTTTGCGCCCACCCTGCTACTCAAGGCTATCCTCGAATATGTTGAAGACCCGACCCAGGCTCCCCGCAACGTTTTGTGGCTCTATGTGATCCTCCTCCCTATCACTGATATTGTCCGCTCTGTTGGAGACGCTCAGGCGCTCTGGATTGGTCGCAAGATTTGCATCAACATCCGTGCTATCCTTGTCGGTGAGATTTACGCAAAGGCGCTTAGAAGAAAGGCTGCCGCCGGTAACGACAAGGTTCTCGGCGAAGACAAGAAGGATGAAGCTCCCGCCAAGAAGGGTTTCTGCGCAAAGCTCAAGCGCGCTTTGGGTCTTGCGAAGGATGACAAGAAGGCCAATGATCAGTCTGCGGCTGAGACTGCCGTTACAAAGGCCGAGGATAAGGCCGCCGAAGCTGATGAGCAGGCCAATCTGGGAACCATCACTACCTTGATGTCCGTCGACAGCTTCAAGGTCTCCGAGGTCACTAGCTACCTTCATTTCCTCATTGCCTCGGCTCCTACACAGCTGATTGTAGCCATTATCCTGCTTTATAGCGTCATGGGCTACAGTGCCATCCCTGGTTTCATCATCATGGCTCTGCTCCTTCCTGTCAACATTGGCTTCGCCAAGAGTTTCCAGTATACCCAGAAGAAGATCATGTCGGCTACTGACAAGCGCATCCACACCACTAACGAAGTCCTCCAAAACATCCGGATCATCAAGTACTTTGCTTGGGAGCACAGGTTTGAGACCATTGTTGATGAGAAGAGACGGGCAGAGCTCAAGGCCCTGCGGACTCGGTACATGGTCTGGGCTTGCGCAGTAGCTGTCTGGAACACGGTTCCTATCCTCATCACTTTCTTCACCTTCTTCGTCTACACCGTCATCGAGAAGAAGCCGTTGTATCCCTCCATCGCCTTCACCGCCATTTCTCTGTTTATGCTGCTCCGCTATCCGCTTGACCAGCTCGGAGACATGATTGCCCACGTTCAGGAGTCCAAGGTGTCTGTAGACCGTATTGAGGAGTTCTTATCTGAGGAGGAGACCGAAAAGTACAAGCAACTGGGTCAGGACAGCGTTGACGAGAACGGCAACAAGATTATTGGTTTCAGGGACGCCAGCTTCATTTGGGGCGGCAGGAACACTGTTGCTAAGGATGGAAGCTTGGCTTTCCGCCTCCTTGACCTCAATATCGAATTCCAGCAGGGCAAGCTCAACGTCATCACTGGCCCCACGGGATGCGGAAAGTCCTCTATGCTTATGGCTTTGCTTGGTGAGATGACCATTCTCAAGGGTCGTGTCTTCCTTCCCGGAGGTCGCAGCCGTGAGGATGTCCGCCCCGACCCCGAAACTGGCCTTGCCGACACGTGCGCCTATGTTGCCCAGCAAGCCTGGCTTGTCAATGGTTCTATCAAGGACAACATTCTTTTCAGTGCACCGCTTGATGAGCAGAGATACAAGGACGTCATTGTTGCTTGCGCTCTGGAGCGTGATTTGGAGATTCTTGATAACGGCGATGAGACCTTGGTCGGTGAGAAGGGCATTACCCTCTCCGGTGGCCAGAAGCAGCGCATTTCGCTGGCTCGTGCCGTCTACTCCAACTCTAAGCACCTTCTTATGGATGACTGCCTTAGCGCCGTTGATTCTCACACCGCTCAGTGGATATTCAGCAACTGCATCATGGGTCCTTTGATGAAGCATCGCACTTGCATCCTCGTATCTCACAACATCCCTCTCTGCGTTCCTTTCTCCGACTTCGTTGTCCAGATGGCCAATGGTCGTGTTACTGCACAGGGCTCCCCTCAGGAGCTCATCGCGGCTGGCAAGTTCGGCGAGGACCTCGCCCAAAAGTCCTATCCTGGCTCCGCGCATGTCTCTCGCGTCCCTTCCCGGGTTCCGTCTAGTGTCGGAGAGGAAGGTGACCACACCCTGATCAACGAGGCCGACGGCAGTGAATCTCAGACTAAGGCTCAGACGATCAAGAAGGAGCACAAGAAACAGGATGCTATGGAAGAAAGCAAGGCTACTGGTGCTGTTAAGTGGCCTGTCATGAAGCTCTACCTTACCGCTATGGGTAAATGGTGGTTCTGGGTTTTATCCGCGGTTGTCTTTGGCGCTCAGCAGTTCTCTGGTGTCGCCACCAGTCTGTGGATCAAGGAATGGGCTAACCAATACGCTACGGACGAGGTTGTTGCCCCCACCTTCAACATGAACTCGCAGAGCTATTCCAGCCAGACCGTCTCACCTACCTACTTTGCTTCGATCGCCACCTACATCAAGGGCAACGACAGCAACACTTTCTCGACCACCTCGAACAGTGATGTTAACGTCGGTTACTACTTGACCGTGCTGGCCATCATCGGTATCGGTGGCGCCGTTGCTGCTTTCGCCAGGGACATGTGGATTTTCTTCGGTTCCTTGACTGCCTCGTGGAAGCTCCACCAGCGTCTGATGCGTGCCGTCGCTGGTGCCCGTTTCAAGTTCTTCGATGTCACCCCTCTCGGACAGATCATGAACCGATTCAGTAAGGACTTGGAGGCTATTGACCAGGAGGTTGCGCCTATTGCTATTGGAGTCATGAGTTGTGTCCTCGGAATTGGCGTCACTGTTACTCTGATTGCCTGGATTACTCCCGGTTTCTTGATTGCCGGTTTCTTCATCACTATCCTGTACGTTTCCCTTGGCGCCTTCTATCTCCATGCCTCGCGCGACCTGAAGCGCCTGGAGTCCGTGCAACGCAGCCCTCTTTTCCAGCAGTTCGGAGAGACTTTGAGCGGTGTCGTCACCATCAGAGCGTATGGTGCCGAGAGACGTTTCATTCGGGAAAACTTTGCCAAGATCAACGCTCAGATCCGCCCGTTCATCTACCTTTGGGCTGCCAACAGATGGCTCGCTTTCAGGACTGATGTTCTTGGTGATCTCGTTGCTTTCTCTGCTGGAGTCTTCGTCATTCTCAGCCTCGGCAAGATCGATCCTGGTTCTGCGGGTATCTCTCTCAGCTATGCTATCGGTTTTGCGGATAACATCCTCTGGCTGGTTCGTCTTTATGCGATGAACGAGCAGAACATGAACTCCGTTGAGCGCATCAAGGAGTACCTTGACGTCGAGCAAGAGGCCGTGGCTGTCGTTGAGGACAACCGTCCGCCTGCGAACTGGCCCGCCCACGGCTCTGTTGAGTTCATCAACTACACTACACGCTATAGAGCTGAATTAGAGCCCGTGCTCCGCAACCTTACCTTCAAGATTGAAGCCCACGAGAAGATTGGTATTGTGGGCCGTACTGGTGCTGGAAAGAGTTCCCTGACTTTGGCCATTTTCCGTGCTCTGGAGGCGGATGAGGGCAAGATCCTGATCGACGGTATTGATATTGGTCTGATTGGTCTCCGTGATCTTCGTGAGGCTCTCACCATCGTTCCTCAGGAGCCTACCCTCTTCATGGGTACCATCCGGACCAACCTCGACCCCTTCAACATGTACACTGATGAGGAGATCTTTGCCGCTCTTCGCCGCGTGCACCTGATCAAGGCTGATGAGGTCATCCCTGGTGCCGTCAGCACCGCCCTTCTTCCTCAGACCCCCGTTGCTCCTGAGAGCGAGTCGGAGCCTTCTCGCCCCGCCACTGCTACCAACAAGAACATCTTCCTCGACCTTTCCTCTCCCGTCACCGAGTCCGGCAACAACCTCTCGCAGGGTCAGCGGCAGCTTCTTTGCTTGGCACGCGCTATGCTCAAGAAGCCCACTGTTCTCGTCATGGATGAGGCCACCGCCTCGATCGACTACGCCACCGATGCCGCCATTCAGGAGACCATCCGCGAGTTGACCAGCACCATCATCACTATTGCCCACCGTTTGCAGACCATTGCTGACTACGACAAGGTCCTTGTGCTGGACAAGGGCAAGATTGTCGAGTACGCACATCCTTGGGAGCTGATGCAGAAGACCGATGGCAGCTTCAGGAGTATGTGCGAAATGAGTGGTGACTACGACACGCTGGTCAAGATCGCCAAGAAGGCGTACAAGACCAAGCAGTTGGTTGATGTTGATGAAGAGGATGAACAGCCGAGCACGACTACCACTGCTGAGGGAAGCGGGACTGGAGATGAGGGAAAGAAGGATGGGGAAAACTAGATTTCTCTTGGAGATGCTGAAAAGAAAGAGACAGCTGCAAGTCAAAATGGGATTATGTCATGTTATGAAATGACCTGATGGATCATGGAGTATGAATCAGAAGGGTATAGACCAACGAATGATGAGATGGAAACTCGGGATGGAGGGGGTGTCTTTTTTCTTTCTGGGTTGGGTTCATGATGATGGAGGAAAACAAGAGCGCATATTTCATTTTGGTGCTTAACACATTTGCTTTGAGATGATGGACATCATCGACAGCGGGCATGGATGATGTAGTGTATATACAGAGATCAGAACTGCGAATATCATCGTTGAATTCTGTGTGAATAAATGTTGATGATGGCGACCGAAGTCCGTGAATAATATGCGCCACATCCATACTACTCGTAAGCCACCGAGATCCACTTTTCTACACCAACTGACTGTTGCCCGTTCCACTTGCTGTGGCGTCACGGTTCAACGCTGCGGTTACCATAGGCAGGTGTCACTATCATCCCCATGCTCATCTTACTACAGTACACCACTTGGCGACTTACTTTCTCGGAACCCCTCACTTCAACGGAACAACAAACCCATCTTTTTTTTTTCTCTTCTGAGTTCAGAACCTTACAAAATGGTGCCTACCAAAGTGGAAGAAATTGGCAACCCGCGCCGAATCTTAGCAGTCGCCCTCACCGACTCCTCAGACCATCTCGGTGCCGTCATCAGAGGTATGCCATGCCACATCACGTCCTTCTTTCTACCCCTTCTCCCCTCTCATTACTACTTCCCCATATCTTTCCCATTCTCGCATACATAACCAGGGCTTTACCTTTTACCACCACTTTCTCTTCCCCCCCTTCAAACATTTATTTTTTTTCCCCCCCATCGATTAACAAATAATAGACCTAACCGGCACGGCCCCCACTCCCCAACAACAACAACCACCCTCACAAGAAGACGAAGAAGAAGAAGATTCATCAGAACACACGGCAACGGAACCTTCCCTTGCAGGAATCACCCACCACCTCCCCCTCTCTACAACTTACTACACTGCTTCCATCCCCATCTGGCTAGACCTGATTGCCTCCCCTGGCGACTGGTCAGCGAGCTTTTTGAGCGAAGAGGCGAAGGAGGTGCTGGGGGTTTTGGGCGGGGTTGTTTGTGTTTTTGAGATTCCTTTTACATCTGCACCGGGGTCGTCCTCTTCTAGCGATGATGATGCCAAGGTGAAAGCGCAGAAAGAAAAGACTAAGGGGTTGATTAAGGGGGTGGGCAAGGTAGTGCGGGAGGGACTAGGTGGGTGGGAATGGGAGGGTGTGGGGTTGGCTGTTGGCGTTACGACAACAGCAACAATAACGGCGACGGCGTCAGATATTGGTGGTGGTGGTGGTGAGATTACTACAATGGAAATGGACGCCGACATGGAAGATGAGATTAATGAATGGGATGATTTGTGTGCGGAGTGGGGGTTGGAGTTTGTTCATCATCGGGTTGTTGGCAGCAGCAACAACAATGATAACAGAAGCAGCAACAACAAAGGGGAGGAGAAGAAAAACGAATACGGCGAAAAGATGGGCATCGCGCGAGTCCTGGAGGCACTGCAGTCTAATGACTGGTCAGGCGGAGACGGCGACGAGGGCGACAATAATAACAACAACAATCGTGGGCTGTTCGACGAGTCTGAAGACGAAGAGGACTACGTTGATGAAAACGACGGGGATACTGAGGATGAGTTTGATCTTGGCTTTGGGTACACCAAGAAGCAGAAAATGGAAATGCGGAAGGCGTTCTTGAAGGGGACTGCAGATTCGAATAGGACGGCGGAAGAAGAGTTGGAGGCGTCCAAGAGCGTGACGCAGACAATAGAAGGACAGGAAAAGACGAAGAAGAAAGGTGAGGAGAAGGGGGAGTCCGCTGCTGTTGCCACAGACGTAGCAAATGCTGGACCGAGCGCTGAGTCTGGGTCTGGGGCAGACAAGGTAAAGGAAGAAGAGATAGGAGAGGAAGATGTGGAGAAGATCGCCAAGATGATGCTCAAGTTGCAAGCGGTTAGGGACATGAGCGGTACAGTACCGGAGGAGCAAAGGAGGAAGTTGGCGTTGAAGGCCGTCGAGGAGGTTATGAGGGAGTTGTAATGTCGATCAAGATATGCCACAGGCAGACGCTTCTAGCTGATAGTTTCAGTCATGCAGCTCATCACGTCGTCAGTCACATCCGATTGTTCCATGTTCAAATGTCTTTGTGTCCACCTGTTCACTCCCCAACCCATTTTGCTACGATACTTCGCCGGGCTATGAGGGAGTGGTGCAGAGTTTGAAAGAATCGTATTACCGATACCGGCTTTCCGTGATCGCAAACTCACATCGTGAAACACAACCACAACGTTACCTTTGACCCATCTCCACCACCCCAAACGCCCTGTCCAACTCCTCGCCTTGATCTGGCACCGCCATCTCACTTGGACCCCCATTTCCGTGCCCCAACCCAAACCCTTGCCCACCAAACCTTTGAGTCAACCCAGCGATACCGCCATCCTTCCCCCCATTTCCTCCCTGCTGCTCGTCACTCTCACCATCTTGCGCATCCAGCAAACTCCCTCCCCCATTCCCTCCTTTGGTGGAGCTGGAGTTCCCACCCTTCCGCTCCGGCTCCAACAACCTCGCCTCACTATCCAACCACCCCGGCGCCACCCGTCTCTTCTCGGCCAGCTCCCTCTTCCTGATTCTCTCCTCGAAAGCCTTCAGCTCCGCACTGGCATCAGACTGCAACTTGGCGACGTGCGCTTGTAGAGCTTGACATGAGGCGATGATGTCGTCTGGGTGGGCGGCGTGACCGGACGCGGAGGAGATGATGTATTTTGGTTTGTTGTTGGAGGATGTTGATGTTGTTGGGTCGCCCCCTTCGGAGTGGTTGGGGGTGTTGACGCCGACGCCGGATGGGGAAGGCGGGAGGGCGCTTGGCATGGGCTTGTAAGTGTAGGGTAAAGTGACGGAGGAGGGGAGCGAAACGAAAGGAGAGACGGTTAGGGGGAGTTGTTGGAGGAGGGGGTGGGTTCCTGGGTAATGAGGGGAGTGTTAGTTAGGATGTTGTTAGGAGGGAGAGGAAGGATGGGAAAAAAGGATAGCGAGGGGGGAGGGTTGGGGGTGGGCGACTTACGGTTGTCGTGCATTTTGAAGAGTTTTGGTGAGGAAATTCTGCGAGGCTGAGAGGTGGAAGTGGTGTTTCAGGCCAGACGAAGGACCTTGAGGACTGGGACCACGACGAGGGGCAGAAAGTGGATGAAGTGCTCGAGTGCCGTGTATCTGAGAGGTTTAGATTGCGGCAATTCGAGGTGATTGCGATGATATCTCAATTGAGGTAGTACCGGCTGTGACGTGAGTCTATTTCGAGGTTCCTATCAGACTTGAGGGAAGCGATGTTGACGTTGTTGAACTTGGATGCGCGGGGATGTTCCAGTCTGGTGCACTTTGAAGTTGAGCGATGATGAGGGTCGATGGAGCTACAGGGGTCATTCCACAGCGGGAACGATAAGCTGATAAGCCCCATGATGGAGCAAATCGGACCCACTAAAAGATAGGTCGCCTAGAGCCCCAGAGCTTCTGGAGCTTCAGCAGCTTCACAACTCCGACCTATGCTCGTAACTTGTACGTAATTCTAACAAAAACATAATAAATTAACAAAATGGCACCTACCACGATCCGGACGCCGCCCGCTCTTGCGGACTTCAAGCCTCTTGAAGAGCACCTCCGGCAAACTCCCGAGACATTCTTCGGCGGAAAGCCAGTCCTCTACTACCATGCGACCGGCGCAAAGGCCTGGATCCCCAAGTCGCAGCGCGGCAGGCTGCCCTTCTTCCCAGCCGACCTCGAGGCTGAACCTACAGCTCCTGAAGGTGCCGCTTTGAGCGAGGGTGCTGAGGAAACCGTTGAGCAAAAAGTTGATCTCTATGTCAACTCCCAGTATGTCCATCTGCTCTCTAACCGTCAAGGTCCTCACGCGCTGGACCAGAAGTTAACAACCCCACGCCTCCTCTTTGCAGAAACCTCACAATATTCTCCCCTTCCGCCGAAGTTGGCTTTGAGATCCCCTACCCCGTGATTAGCATTCACGCGATCAAGACCATTGGCACCGGCGAAACAAAGTACCCCTCCGTCTTCCTCCAGCTCGAGCTCTCCCCCGACGGCGGCGCCGACGACGACGACTTTGAAACCGTCGAACTCACCCTCATTCCCCCACCTGCTCCTTCCACCGAATCCCAACAAACCGAAACCGAGGAGGAGCCAACAATCGGCAAGAAACAACCCGACAATGAAGCAACAAAACTCTACAAAGCCATCTCCGCTTGCTCCGATCTCAACCCCGATCCCGTCGAGGAAGGCGACGAAGACGAAGACTACGACGATGACAGGATAGTCTTTGAGGGCGATGCCATTGAAGGTTTCCAGGGCGTGTTTGCGGGGTCGAATTCGGGAGGTCTGCCGCCGCCGATGCCTGGCAGTTCCGGGTGGATCACGGCGGAGAACGTGCACGAGTACTTCGATGAACAAGGAAACTGGATCGGTGGGGAAGAGGAGGTTGAGATTGAGATCGAAGGAGAGGAAGATGGTGGCGTAAATGGAGGAGAGCTTGGTGAAGGTGCTGGTACCGTGAGAAGGAGGGAGGATGTAGAGGATCCGGCTGATGGTGGTGGAGAAAAGGATGAACAGGGTGAGAATAAGAGGGCTAGGATTGAGTAGGGAAGTTGAGGTCGAGTGAGAGCGCCCAGTAGACGCCTGTGCGTTCCAGCTGTTGGAGTGGACATGGCTAGGACTGGGTACAATGGGCTTGGTATGCTTCTGGGGATGGTCGGGCCCAAACAACGGAACCTTTGGAAACTCCTTTTTCTGGCACGGTGTATCGGTCTGAAGAGAGACCGAAAAATTCACGATCAGCGTGTTAAGGACGGGTCTAGTCCTCATGAGTACAGACAATGATTGCCAATGCGTGAGTCTTATGCCTGATCCGTGTATTGGCGTATCCTCCTGACTACCTACCCCGTAAACTTTCGTAACAAACGGCGAGGGGAAGCACTTGAAAGCGGGGCAGGCCGCTGCTTTGTGACATTTCACGTTTGCGATATGCCCGTCCACAAAATCCACGACTTTACGATCAGGACACATTCAAGAAGCCGTTCAAACCATTTTTCCTTTCTTCTCTTGTTGACCTCAAATTAGCATTACAAGTCCGTGATGCTTCAATTCCTGCACCATCGATATTGTCATTCAGTGTTTTGGGTTTTAATTTCTATCACTCCAATTTGTATTTCCCATCCTGCTCCGCGAACTCAACAGGCTGCAAGGATGGCATGGCCGTCGGTGTTCTGCTTCCTCTTGTTTCTATTTGATCTCTGTTCACCTTCTATCCCTCTTTCTCTTCCTTTCTCTCCCTTCATCAATTCTTGTGCCCTTGCTTTTTCTCCTTTTTCAACCTCTCTGATCCTTCCCCCCTTCATCCTTCGCTTCTTCCGTACTTGCTAGTGTTCTAGGCTTCATTGCCCAAGCTGTCACTCGCAAACAGTCTTGATCTGACACCATACTACTATGCCAGTTTGAAAGACTGCCTCGGTAAGTCAACATCCACGTCCACCCAGCCCACCATCATCCACGCAGCAGGACCTTCTGCAAGGCCACCAAAAGCAGACTGCGATGGTGGCTGACTGGAGTTGACTGCAGGTTCTCCAATACCATGCATCACATTACGGTAGTGTTTTCTAAGATATGACTAACAAGCAGACAGGTTATGCACTTATCGGTTGTACCCGTTAGGGGAGAGGACAGCTCTGCCTGTTTCTCCAATTCTCCTCCAGAAAAGGAAGCGTGTTCATGCTCGGCCCCTGCCTTATCGGAAAGGCGTCCTGAATCCCCCCTCCACCTCCACCTCCACCTCCATATTTAACTCTCGCTCTCATTTATTTTGTTGCTCGGCGTAGCTTAGCTACAGGCGACCCAAATTCTGGAGTACAGCAGTTAGTAGTCACTGAACAGGAAGAAGGTCAGTCATCCTATTCCAAACTTGGCAGACGTGGCAGTGACTAACAATTGGATTAAAGTTTCTGTGCGAACGAAGGGCTGCGCAACATTTTTTACCGCAGCGTTGACAAGGGGGTACGATATTCGCGTCTTCTTCAACACGGCGAATTGAAGGCCAGTCATCCTGTGCCTATGCACTGCCTCCCAGTACCAAGATTTCGGCAGGTTTATGAGAGCCAAGTACATCCCCCCCCCCCCACCCCCCTGAAAGAAAAGAAGAAAAAGAAAATATTGTCTTTCAGTCAATTACCAACGCTTACCAGCTTGCAAAGCTTCTCTAGTCACTATTCATGCTGCAGAACCACATCACGACGTACGGTGATAAGGAGGAGCCGTCATGGCACAGGTGCATGAACTCGGGAGGGCGAGACAAGAACATCGATGCTTCAACCTGACCGGCTGAGGTGCTGCATCGTATCCCCATGGGCTAAAATCAGCGCTTAAGACAGAGAATCTCCACGTCTACGGCATCAACTTTGCAAAGGTACCCACATATCCACAGAGTATCGACATGATGGCGGAGTTGGCTAACATGTGTCGAGATCGAGGCCAGGACAGCTGGAAGGGTAACAGTCGGGTGCTACGCCTGATGTCAAGTATTCTTGCCATCTCTCCAGGTACCTAGAGTGGAGTAGGCGTCGAGAGGACGTCGACGAGACTAGCACCGAGTCACAGTATTCTGAACTTGCACCTACCTGCCGAGCCACGCCAAGTGCTTGCTTCTCGACTACTTCGCCGTCTCCGCCTCCATAATGTCCTACGTCTTCAAGCCAACCTTCCATTTGGGGTAATGCCGGTGAATGATCATGCAACTACGTTACCTATCAACTGTTGCCTCCGCTCGCAGATGTTGAGGTTTTTTGGGCTTACCCACATTATCTCACCCCTTTTACCCGATCCATTTCCTCGCCATCGACGCACCAATGCCGAGCATCCTTTCCATGTATCGCCAACAAGAGACTTCTATCTCCACCGACCAACGACTGCCACCAACAGCGAGATGACGGCGACGACGATGAACTCCAGATCCGAGCATACCTACGCAGTTCCCCCACCAGCCACTTCCGAGCGTATCTAGCAGAAGCACGACAACCGAGCTGCAAGATGCACCCTGAATTCAAGCCGTAGACACGACGGAGTTTACTTCACGGCGCTCCCCACTTGCGCCTCCCACCTAACAAACCCCCCCCCCCCCCCCCCCCAACAAATCTAGGAATAATGCGGTCACTTCGAGAGGTGGCACGATCGTGAACAAGCGTTTGTCATTGGCAAGCTAACCAGATTTTTGTCAAAGAGCCTGTGCAAGGTCCAGCACGTGGCAAGTACGTACCCTGTCGGCAGTTGAACTGTTCCCATTCAGGGTCTTTGCTTCTAGTTGAGGCGTTTCCTGGAGTGGCCTACAGCAGTAGGAAACACTCATATGTGGGAGACGACATTTCGAAGCTAAGATGCGGTACTTGGACATTGCTATGCTGTTTTCCCGTACATCTCCAAGTCTTGTTTCCTTGTTTCTCTTGCAGAACATACTCTTGGCCCTATTTTCCTGCTCTGAGGTTGGATGTTCTAACACATTTTCCTTAATCTTTTTTTTTCTTTCTTTTTTTTTCCCTCCCTCAAACAACATCACACCTTTTGTCTCATCACAGGCTCTACACTGCAAGGTGCAAATTCTACTTCCGTCAAGCCGAGTGTCGTTGAGAAGTATTTGGCATTCACTTCTGTTTCTGGTCCCTAGCAAGCCGCTTGTCCTCCCCTTCAACTTCTCAACTTTTCTATCTTCCGTTACCTTTACTTGTCACATCATATGTCGTCTCTAGCAGACACAATTGGGAGTCCCTTTTTCTTCTATCTACTCTTTTCCGTACAGGAAAGCGCCTTCTCGACACTCATTTTCCAACGATGCGGCACATACCTTACCTACTATCGATCGTAGTGCCGGCGACCACCCGATCTCCTCCCTTCATCGAACAACGAAAAGAAAGAACAACGAAGCGATACAACGAAGAAAGTCAAAACAAGACATACCCGTTGATGTGAGGAAACCTCGGTCTTTTACTCAAACTCTGTTTCACAAAAAACCATTGTATGAAGTAGAGTTAGGGTAACAGACAGGGTCTTTCCCTCCAGAAGGAGTCCAAGGTTAGAAAGAAAAAAATAAATACAAAAGAGGCTTTCTGAGAACCTATTGTCTTCTCCATAGACATTCAGGTTGCAACATGGCCTCAACAAATGAAAGCTATAACAGTTCACGCCCTTTTCTGTTGGTTTTAATTATCCTTCATTCTTATCTCTTCTTTGTTGCAATTACTAGCTCCATTTTCATGGCGCTTCCGTTCCTGTTTCTCTAGTTAGAGATAACTAGAATCATCAAAAGTTTCCACCTAGTGATGTCGTTGGTAAGATCTAGATGACAGGCATGTTCGCTTGCCTCCAGACGAAGCAGGACCTGCCTGGTACAAAACATCTCCGCCCACCACCGTACCTCTCTATAAATGCAGCATGACTAGCATCCTGGAACCCATGTTTGTATGACGAACGTACCTACAGCTCGTCTTTACAAGACGGTTGTGTTCGAATCTCAACGGGCATGACTCCTGGTCCAGACATCATTTTTCATCAAATTACTTCTACCATGTGGCTCCTAAATGGTTTCGGACTGAGGTCAACGTCTCAAGTGACCCTCTAGACCGGTAACCGTATTTCTTTCTCTTTTCAGTCTTCATCCACGAACCAAGTCACCTATTCGGACCCGCTAAGGACTAGAAAGACGAACAAGTGTACGGTGTCTTTGTCTGGAATTCCCTGTCTTCTTTGATCGACCTCCTTGGATGCCATGTCCTCATTTCGGACCTCACAAACCCCACCGGACGATCCCTGGCCTTCCGGAAACACGACATGCATCTCTGTTTGAGCTTTTGGTTACCTGGACCATGACCTTCCTATGGAGAGGGAAGGGGGAGATGAGGGAGATGAGGAGGAGGAGGGGGGAAGGAGAGAGGGGGAAGAGAGATGGGGGAGAGAGGAGGGAGAGGCGGAGAGAAAGAGGAGGATAAGACAGAGAGAGGCGAGGGGGAAGGAGTGAAGGGGTGAAGGGGGAGGAAAAGATATGGAAGAAGGAGGATTCGGCACCCACGACGCCTCGAGAACATTCTAAACGCCACCGAGACTTTCGACACACCACCTGCAGCACTGCCCTCTTTCTTACGACAAGCTCAGTCAGAGCGAGCTTGCCCCCATGGAAGCATAGCCACGCATCCCAGCTATTTCCGATGCTGAGCCCAATCACAAGCCGAAGTTCGAAGCATCGTACTCATGCCGATGGCTGTCCGGACTGCTCTTTACATAATGGGGCACTTCCGATGACTCTCTCAAGACATTGGGAAAGGCAGCAAGCTATGGAGGTGAACGCCAGCAGCCAACGACACCCCTAAACGCATTCTGCCAAGGGCTATATACCCCACCAGCGAAGCTGTTGATCACCGGTCTTCTGTTGTCTGCACAAGAACCTGTGACATCGGAGTTCCGACTTTGAAGTACGTCAGGCAAGTTTAAGCTTGTTTGAGAGCATTGGTGACGGATGAGAAGTTTGGTAGGGCTGATCCGCAGACACAGAGAGTTGGGCCAACAATTCATTTAAAGTCAACACACACGCTCGTTCTCCCTTATCTTCCTTCTTCAATCGCCACGTTGCTTCTTCGGCGCGATGTTTACCTGTTCTAATGGTAGACATGTAGTACCGGCAAGGAGTCTCATCATGTCCACCGTCGTAGCGGCGGGCCTTCTGACAACACAGTCTGAATATACGACATGCAGGTACGTTCAAAAGCCTCTACTTCTGTGCTTCTGCCCTTCAGTTCGTAGCCACATTGCAACCTGCCGTTGATTGACTTACCCCTTGGATACCTCTTGAGGCCCCAACATGACCACATCACTCCCCACTTGAAGCCGATTATCGTCTTCATTACCATGTCAGAAGGTGCGTTATGTGGTCAGAGGGAGGAGGTATGTTGTTTTCCGGCGTCTCCCCACTTATAAAATTCCCAGTGAATCACCACCTTGTCCTTGAAATTGGCCCTCCCAGCAGCGGTCCAATATCAAGACTCCCACACACGATGGCTGTCACAGCTACAGCAACTTGGACTCGACACCTACGCCACAACAGTAGGAATGGAGACTTGACACAGCCAAGGCGTTGAAGCACGCTCTCTGTCCGTCCACGTCTTTGCTCAGCGACTCCCGCAGCTGAATGACGACCCCTTTATGAATTCTTGACCGTAAGTACCGTGTCCCTGAAGCTCGAAACGCCCAATCTCATGTGTTTAGCACGCCATCTTCTCCAGATCCGGGTGAAGCCGCCTGAAAAGGTTCTCAGACCCGTCTGCCGTGGGGTATGTCCACGGCCTGCGGTTTAAGGCCCGGTTGGAGAAGATGTACGAAAAACTGGCGGAGAAGGTGGCTCAAGGTAATACGAAGGGAAGTGATACAACACCGGTATCAGATGCATGATATGAGAGAGTGTTCGGAGGAGAAGATGAAAGAGAAGGAAGACGCTCCCGGCCAAACCTTGGCCTTCTGGTCCGGGTCTTGGCCCCTTTTTCAACTCCTTGATCAGCACGCAGACCATGACCCCATGGCGATAGTGCTGCCCTGAGTCAACAAGTGATGTACCAACCACTCTGTAGAGTATCATACAGACACATAGCTATACAGAACCTTGCCAAAACCTGCCCCTGTGCTGATGAATTTGCGAAGGCCATGTCGCGAGAGGTACTTTTGCTCCTGTACATCAATGTTGATGTCGAAGAAGCACCCCCAATCCAACTTCGTCATGTTGTAGGCCCTCTTCAGATGTTTCCGCCCAGATACATTTATATCTTCACCCCCATGGTTCCCCATAGGTCTGACTTGATCATATCTGGCAACTTTCTAGCGGCAGCCGTTGATTAACACCGGCATCGCCTGGAGCTGGTAGCCCATCATGATGCCCTGCTTATGAGTCCCTGAAGCTGACACCAGCGGTCAATAGCCATCTCGTCTGTCTGAGCACCCCCTCAGTCATCCTCCCGTCCTCTGGGTAGGGTTTCTACCGCTATTCCACTTCTTGGAAGGCCGTACAACCGCGGGCCATGCAGAGGGGAGCCTGTTACCTTCAGGCTACAGTGACCCGAAGCTATAAACCCAACGCCTAGACTTCAGAAGCGACTGCCCGCTTCTGTAGCTACAATGACTAATGGCCGAAGGGTGAATAACCTCACAATGACTCCGAGGTCAGCGTTTCACTCCTTCTTCGGCCCAGAAACGACAGCATTTTCATCTGGATGACTGGGAGGACCATTGTACATAGCATAGTACCACGACACCAATGCATTATCTGCCCTGCTTGTGAATTTGTGACTATGATGACCCGTTGGAAGCTCGGCGCTGACCACAGGACGTCCGACCATGCACTATGATTGCTTGCGAGGTGTAAGAGGCGCAAGGCAACGACGCTAGAATGTAGATACCGTAAGTTGTCGCGTTGCTGGAAGCAAAAAAAAGCAGGAAAAGGCTCGCAAGGCGGACAAGAAGGAAGACCGGAGAGCCTGGTCCGGTGAGAGGACACGTTGCCTCGGGCCCCTTAAGAGGAGCGGCTCGGAGTTAGAAGGCATGATGTGACTGGCAGGAAGGCCGTAATGGCCAAGCAGTGTCCTCGGCATCTACCATCGTATGGAGATTGCCACTTCTTCGCGTCACTGGTGCCATCGTTCCTGCCTTGTGATTTCTGCAGCGCCTCAGCTATTGCAGCTCAGCACCTGGCCCTCACTTCTTCCGCCCCCCAATGCCCAGGCAGCGGTATCTGTAGCCAATGAGACCTGTAGATAGCCGCCGAGAAAGTGAAGCTTCCTGTTTGATGGTCTGGCTTACCAGGAAGCTGTGCTTCCGGCCAGTTGCCCTCACCTCTCCTTTGTGTGAGCAGGATATGGGAGTTCTGGTGCTTGGCCGGTCATCAGGCCCCTGCCAGCTGTCATTCCAGCAGACGAGGGAGGCTTGAAGTACATAACTCCGCTCAGCCGCTGCTGTCGTCTTCCGTGAGAGTTTTCTGATGTGCTCTTTCCTCTTCCAGTCGATGACTCAGCCGAACTTCGGGCCGTTCTTGCACCGAGGCAAGGCGGAATACCCTCATTTACCCCCGACACATGCATGTCGCGGCCTTGTCTTGTCGAACGAGATTGAATCATAAACAAAGAAAACGATTGCTCTCGAATGCCCCTATTGACGGTTTATCGCAAGGAATTACAGTGGCAAGGCAGTGAGGATATCTCCTTTCGTGTTCGGATCCACATTGGTCAGGGGCGATGTCTTGGCGGTACGACAAGACGGCCGGGAAGGTTCATGAGACACTCCTTCATAGTTCCTTCCTTTCTAAGAATTGGAGCGTCAATCCTGCCGAGGAAGCCTCCATTTGGGCGTGAAATGTTCGATAATGTGTCGTTGTCCTTCATTTGCTCCCTTACAAATTTTCTTGCTGAGGCTGTTCAAGACCTTGCCGCCCGCGATGCTCGGAGACACTCTCCCATGATTCCATTTTTATTCACAGCTAAGGCCTATAGAATATCTTCACGTGTCCTTTTCAATATACCGCATCTCCGACGTTCATTTGACTTCATTTGTTCATTTGTGAAAATATTGCCCATTTCGACCTTCGCTGTCGCAGATGACACTGTCTCATAATTCCGCGGGTTGTGTCACAAACGATCTAAAACCTCTTATCTACATACTTATCATGCAATTCTAACTTCTCGGCACTTGGATGGGCGTCTTTTAGACAGTTGCTCAATTGTCCATCGGAGCCGACCAACAGCACGTTATTTAGATTGTACTAGACACTCAACTGTTATTATGTCGGCATACATGATGAGAAGGTGAGGCTTTTACAAAGTGTGTATTTTTAAAAAACCTAGCGACGAATTTGATTAGTACATAGCTAAGCTCAAAGACCATCAATTTGTCGACGAGTGTTTTGAGAGGCTTGTTCGCGCAAACCTGGCCTTGCGCAAATACCGTTTTCGGGATTGTGAGATAAATGGCGTCGAATTTGACCGAGGGATATAATACAACAACTTCCAGATTCATTGTCGATGCAGAAGTTGAGCTATCTGGACGTAGAGAGCGGCATACAGGCTTCACAACATCTTCACGGCGAAATCTTAGCGGGCGGAAGGACCCAGCTTCAATGATTGCAGATCTTTCAGGCACCTGATTACGCCAGTACGAACACAAAACTGAAGCTGAGCAAATGAGATCGAATTACCATACCATCGAGAATATCGTATCCCGCCCTGACAGTTGTCCTGGCGCAAGTTGGGCCCAAGATCTGTTGCTGAAATTTGCGACGAATCGACCATGTCCGGGGGCTCCACTCGGTAGTCAGGAGGTGCTCCACATATAACTGTACGTCAAGTCGTCAACACACCGACGCCGCGACTGCCAGATGAACATACCTCTTTCTTTCTCCGTGGCAGACACAGGCAGCATTTGA